TCCATCGGTGATGTTGGAGCACGACGAATTGCTCATGGATTACTTTCTAACAAAGTGATATTCTTTTTTCTTTATATCCATGTCTCAAATGTTTACTTTTCTACTTTCAAAGATACTCACTACATTAGATTTACAACAAAATCATATTGGAGACATTGGTGTCGAAAGTCTTATTGATGCACTACGAAACAATACGGTAATCCATCCTTTTTGAAGACGCTCATTTTATTGATAATAATGTTATATTTATAGACTCTCACTACACTCGATCTTAATTATAATGAAATCAAATTTATAAGACTAGATGATATCGATAGTTTATTGCAAAATAATACAGCAAGTGTCTTAATAACTGTATGCCATGGACATTTTGAGACTTCTGTAGACACTCAAAAGTCTCCGATTAAAAAAGAATTTTGCACGCAATGCAACGTTAATAGAAGCAGTAGTTGCAATAAGAAACAATAAAGTAATTTTCTTCGACATAAAGAATTTCTCTATGATCTTTCTTTTGAATACAGTTACTTACAACGTGTGACCTTAGTCATGAAGACATCGATGACAAATATGCACAGATTCTTGCTAATACATTACGAAATAATACGGTAATCATAATTCATCCGTTCCTTCTCTCATGATTATCTCTTCTCATGCATCTTACAGACGTTAAGATCACTCAAACTCAGAGAAAATCAAATTGGTGATACCGGAGCAGAATATCTGGCTGACGCACTAAAAAATAATACAGTAATTTTCAATTAATATTTTGTATATCTTCTCAATTCTTTTTTGTGGTACTTGCATAGACATTAGTAGAACTTGATCTCAGACGAAGTATTAGTGGATTTTGTATAGCTATTGGAGCAGAAATAGAAATTCGAAACAATAAAGTACAAGAATATTAGATTTTGTAATATCCTTTGAAAATATAGCATGATGTTTTTACAACAGAGCCTCACTACGTTACAACTTGATGGGAATGATATTGGCGATAAAGGAGCGTATCATATAGCTGATGGATTAAAAACTAATCAAGTAATTGACATGAACATTTTTATTTGATTGGCTTTATCTTTTGTCTTTTACAGACACTTCGAAAACTGAGTCTTAGATACAACGAAATCGGTTACAAAGGAGCATTTCGTCTAGCTGATGTATTAAGAAATAACACGGTATTTAACATCGATTGTCAATCAATCGATATTGAATAAAATAATGATTTTAGGCGTTGATTAATCTGGATCTTTTCGGTAATCATATTGAAAATAAAGGAATGGAGTATTTTGCTGAAGCTTTGAAAAATAATACGGTATCTTACATTTTGGATCATCCTTCTTCTAATCAATATTTTAATCATATAGACACTCATTACATTAGGTATTGGAGGAAACCAGATTGGCGAAAAAGGAACATATTATGTGCTTCAACTTTTTCAATATAACACAGTGAAACAGATTGTCTTGTTATTTTTCTAGCATACTTCTTTTCAATCTTTTATTTAGACATTGAGCATACCGGACTTTAACCAGAATTGTATAGGATCAAATGGAATGAGACATCTGGCTAACGCCTTGATATATGACACAGTATGTGGTATTGTTTGTTTTCTTTTTTATCGAATGTCTTATTCACATAGAGTATCATCGCATTAAGACTTCAGCAAAATCAAATCGGCGATGATGGAGTTAAACATCTCGCAAATGCACTACGATACAAAACCGTGAGAGTCGTGGAAAAGTTTTTTTTTTGTGATTTCGATTCCATTTTATTACACTCTCACAGATGATTACCACGTTAGACCTCAACTACAACAACATCGGAGACGAAGGAGTAAAACATCTAACTGATGCACTAAAATATAATCAGGTGATACTCAAATATTCTTTATTGTTCAAAAACATCAATGTTATTTGGCAGACACTCACTACACTCGATCTTGGATACAATGCAATTCGTGATGAAGGAGCACAACATCTCTCATTTCTACTAGGAACTAGCATGGTGATTTTAGGTCACTATTATATTTGATTCAATGTTTGTTTATATCATCAATAGACATTGAGAACATTAAATCTCAAAGGAAATCAGATTAGTAAGATTGGATCACTATATTTGGCTTTTGGATTACGTAATAATACGGTGACTTTCATTGTTCAATGATTTTTCTATTATTCATCTTGTATTCTCATAGACACTGATGAAACTTAATCTAAGAAAAAACATCGATCCTTATTGTGTTCTCATTGAAGCAATAATTCAACTACGGAACAATATAGTAGTCTAGAATTTATTCTTATGATTTTTTCATAATGTATCATTTCTGAACGTAGACAATGACTAATTTGGATCTAAGTGGTGACAATATTGGTAACCTAGAAGCTGAATACCTAGCTCAAGATTTGCGGAATAATAAAGTGATTCTCATTGTCTCTTGAATTTATGTACGAACATTCTCTACATTCGCAGACACTCGAAATACTGTATCTTAGTTATAACAGAATCAGTGACAGTGGTATGCAACATATTGCAACTGCAATACAAAATAACAAAGTAATTTGACTACCATCGCCTTTGTATTGCTATTCTAAGCTTGACAGACATTAACCAGACTGGAACTACTTGAAAATCAGATCGGTGATGTTGGGGCAAAATGTTTAGCTGATGCATTAATTAATAATACGGTAATTCTGCTTTGTCATATAACTATTTTTCATATTAATTTTGTCTCATTTTTACAGACGCTCACTGTGTTGGGACTCAGAGGAAACCGTATCAAATATGCAGGATTACGGTATTTAGCTAGAGCATTGCAAAGCAACACAGTGATTACAACTTTGATTTTTTGTTCTCTCCTATTGTTTTATTTTTCTTTTGCAGACCCTACGCAGAATTGATCTTATTGATAATGAGATTAATGAACAAGAAATTCAATCTTTGGCTCAAGAATTTGAAAATACCAAAGTGACTTGCAGCATTTTCTCGTCTTGCACATACACATCTTTATTATATTGCAGGAGTCTCAAACAACCGACCAACAATTGAATGAAGCCATGGCGAAAGGCGAAAATCATTTATGTGATAAATTAACAATAAACAAGGTAGCATTTTGTTCATTGACCATCATGTCTCTGTTTTTTTTTTCTTACAGACACTTCTTAGACTTCGTTCAGGTGAATATGATATCAAGAATAGTATTGGAAGACAACTGAGATTATGTACGGAAGAAAATGATTGGGCAAATGGCGAGACGGATCGAGAGAGATCTGAAATAGACTGAACCTAATATTCGCGCATACAAGTTAAGACAATGTAGAATATTTCGGTATTACTTATTAAAACAAAAAATATTCATTTATTAGTCTTAGTCATTTTTATTCATCGTTAAGCTGATACAATTGTAACTAATGTTATGATGAGATTTTTTTTCATAAATATAAAATCTAGAATTAGATAATCTTATTGATTCCATATTTATGAGAGAATAATTCAATAGAAATGGCGTGAGTGTGTGTGTGGATAAAGTCTTTGTTTGTATAATGATAAACAAAAGATTCACATCCATATCTACACCAACACCCCTACTTTTCACGATTAGTCCATAAAAAGTTGATTTAATTTAGATTATTTTATTCGATATCATTATTTACAAAAGAACAAATAGAATGTGATGTGATTTGCATCATTTTCTTGCTAAACATATGTTCCAACAGTTGGAAAAGATCGCATCTTTGATCTATTCATTAGTTGGTCATGTCCTCTACTTTCCTCTGTTGCAGTGTTCAAAATAATCTTGATTGTTGAAATTCAAAATTTATATTTCAGATATTTTTAACGGTTGATATTTTTGGTTTCTATCGAAATATTCATCATTAATTCACGTTTCTGTCATGTCTCTTTCGTTTTTGAAGTAACTGTTGGGTAATATATGATTATTCCATTGTTAATATCGGAGTATATTATCGAATATATTGATTGCCATCTATGATATTATCCTTTTAATTTGCACTGATTCAAACAATATCATCAACGAGTAGTCTAATTAAAATGTTAATTCTTGTGTGTTTTATTCTCTATGAGAATCACTTTTGTTTGAAATTTTGTTTGAAAATTTTTCTGGAAAGTCATTTTTAAGATCAAAGACTGTTGAAAAAAAAAACATACGCATTAGAATTTTGTCTATTAAATATCGAATAATGGATATTTTTCAGAAACAAAAAAATAAAGAAAATCTCGTGATTCGTCGTATCTTTCAAAACATCTAATGAGTCATAGTACCAGAATAAATTCGGCACCACGAGAGTTTATTTAATCGTCATCTGCCAGCAGAAACTTCAATTTCAGTGAATAGCTTTGGAATGATTTGACTTTGAAGAGAAAGCTCTTTCGATATTTGTTGCAAACAGAGCGAAAATCGAAATTTCTAGATAAAAGCTTTGATTTGTCGTACATGATTTAGTAAACTTTACCGAAAGTGTGGATGTACGCATGAGTGTGAATGTCAGTATTATTTTTAGCCACAGCTTCATCTGCCCGTATATAAAGTCACAGCTACACTCACACAGCCACCCACACCTCAGAATAACCCATAGTTTTTTGTCATTCAATTGCGATTTATTTGAGAGAAAGAGAACGAACAAACAAAAATTAATTACCTTTTGTAACGTTTGATAATGAATTGTTGCACTCGAGCATTATGCTGATCAACAACATAGAGGTGGTCACATCGATCGCAGGACAATCCGCTGTGATAGTTAAATTGATTTGCTCCGTGCCCTCGACGATTTGCACCCACAATGATAGTGTCTTCTTTCTTTTCTTCTGTCTCTTCTTCTGTGTCTGCTTCAGGCAAACGCATCACTCAATAATATGATCCCCCAGTCAGCTACATAGAGGGTACCCAATGTATCGACGAACAGTCCTTGAGGGTAGGACAATTGTTTCAGAGCATTGTCCCAGCCTTGACCTCCAGCGGCGATAATTCCTTCTTTTGCATATTTCTCTTATTTCATCACACGGTGATTGTAGGTGTCTGACACGTAGACAGCCTGTTGTCCATCGACAAAGAGGAAGGTCGATCGATTGAGTTGATTGAGATCAGCACCTTTGTCATTGCCACCAGCAACGAGAGTTCCATTCTTTTCTCCTATTTGAAATCGTCTTACTTCATGTTTTTCAATGTCAGAGATGTAGAGATATCTCTGATCATCTATAGTCAATCCATAACAATCAATTCTCTTGATGAGGTTTTCTCCTTGAATTGTGCCACTACGACGAGACCATCGTAGGACTCGTCGATTTTCCCAGTCACAAATAGTGAGACTATCCGTCTCTTTATTGATCAACACATCGGTTGGACCATTCAATGGATTTCCTCCCCCGAAACCACCAGCTACCACTTGACCATTCGTATCACCTACTTTCCATTGAACGATCCGATCATTCCAATGGTCAGCGATGAATATCGTTCCATCATCTTCATCGAAGAGACCGAAAGGGCGATCGAGTTGATTGGTGGCATTGCCTGCTTCATGATCTTCAGCAACAGTCACTCCATTCTTTGCCCATCGAACTTTGACTGGAATATTAGGGATCCCTACAATGAACAAGAAAAAGAAAAGGAATAGTCGTTACGTCAAAATAAAAGGACATTTTTAAACTATAGAAACGCACCTAAAAATCTCATTTCTTCGTTCTTGATGATTTTATCTCGTAAAAACTTGATTATTTGTTGATTCTTATCAAAGAAGATAAAGAAAGGATTAAGGGTTTTGCAAGAAATAATCGTAACGAATAAATGCTGATTGCATTTAAAATTCTTCATAGGAAAACTTCTGCAAATACTTTATGAGCGATTCCTCCAACCTGTAGAAGACATTTATCTTCTACGTAATTAAGGATTACTGGATTTCCAAACAGATTTATCCATAGGGGAAAACCTTAATGGCCAAGAAGAGCTAATCCTTCAAGATACTAACCTAATAAGTCTGTAAACTCGTAATCAATCATTTACCAACTAGGTGAGTGATCAGCTGAAAGTAAACCATCGAAAACAATTAATCATAGCCCGTTCGACTTCCGAATTTTATACATATATTTCGTATCTAGAGATTCTTGGAAAGCATCTCAGTCAAGCATCGAATCTGACAAGCTGAAGTACAGAGGTTGACGAAAAATTTCGAAAAGCAAAATGTGGAAGTGGAGAGCGTCGAAAACTTTTAAGAATGATAGCATCAAAATACAGTTTCATATTTTAGTTTATGACCTTCGATTTCCCACTCGATTATCAAAAAAATCATTTGCTTATTTAGAGCTTCATACAATTAGTTCAGAGCGAAGATGTTCGTTTCGAACATATTTCAATTCAACTTGATATTGAGACATCTACACCGAAACAATAGAAAAAAAAAGCTTTTCAAATGAAATTAGACACTTTAAATATTCCGTGTGACCCCTTTCTTTTTTTTAGAGAGTATGAGTTTCTCGGTGGATCTAAGGGAAATTATACGAGAATATACAAGGGAATATAAAAGAATCTCAAGTGAATTTTAAGAGAATTCTAGTAGAATGCGCAAGGCGAAGGAAGACAATCAAAACTGAGATGCTAAAAAGTCTAAACTGGAATGCTACGACAATCTGAATAAGAATCATAGGAAATGAATATTCAAAGACTAGATATAAAAAAAAGACTTATATTTAATTGAGTAATAATTATATAGAATGAGCAATAATTTATTTAACTTAAAGGTATATTCTATATAAGGTCGATTTTATATAAAAAGGGTGTTATAATGTGACTGGCTTATATATCTTTTTTTCTTTTCTTCTCTTCTATGATGTTGTACAGATAACAAGTACGACACATACATGTATATGTCGGAGTTGTCTTTAAAATATTTCAAAATCAACTAGTTGCCTTTTAAATTCAATTAGTTGAATTTAAAATTTATTTTAAACTCAACTAATTGGTTGTAAAATATTTTAAAGTCAACTAGTCGCCTTTGAAAGGGGACCGAATTTTAAAATCAACTCCGATATATACATATATCTCTTGTTTTCTTTCTCTCTTTTTTTCATTGCCTCACTTGAATATTTCTCTTCTCTTGATGTTGTTCAGGTATATTCCTTTCTTCGTCATGTTTTCTTTCTAGAGTGTTTGATTTTTTCCTAGCTCATTCATATATATATATATATGTATATATATAGTTACCATTTCTGAAATAAAGTAGTAGTTCAGTATTGATCTGTTAGATCAATTACATGTTAACAAAGGGCAATATGAATTCATTTATATATCGAAATACGTAGTTTTTCAATTTTACAAAATAAAATACAAAAAGAAAAAGAGGCAGACCATCTAAAGCAAAAAAAGCTCAATTCACACAATAATATACAGATTTTTCATTTTTTTTTTCAATTGTAAATAACTTTTTTATTTGTGTAATTCATATAAAATAACGTAGTTTTTCTTTGTTTTATTGCTAAAATATGATATTACTACTGCTACTTAATGAATTAATTATTGTACATTTAATAATAAAATTACTCAAATGAAGTTTTTTTATTGCTCCAAAATTATCGCTAAATCGTATTTTAATTATTGCTTATTCCAGTATTTTTATTGCTCAAATAAATACTAGCCTTTTTTTTTTCTATGTGATTCATGATCATTTATTAGTCGATTGTTGATAATTCTTTTTAAAATGATTTTATTCTTCGATCACGTCTTCAAGACTATGATGAGTACGTTAAAACAATTTTAATTTTTAGCAATAGTTAGCTTCCATCAAGTTTGAATTTTTGTACGCGATTGTTTCCAAAATCACTCACGTAAAGATTACCCTCCTGATCAAATGACAATCCGATGGGAGTACTAAGTTGATTTGAATCATTTTCTTCACCATTTCCGCCAACAATAATATTTCCCTGTGTAGCTGCTTGAGGCCAACGGACAATTCGATGGTTCTTATGATCAGCAATGTACACAGTACCTAATTGATCTACGATAATGCCACGAGGATTTGATAATTGAGTAAGACAATTTCCTTGACCTCGACCACCAGCCACAACAATACCTTGTTTCGCACCTTCCATCCACTTCATCACGCGATGGTTTTCGCAGTCTGATACGTACACTGAATGATCGTAATCGACGAATACGTATGTCGGTTGATTCAATTGATCGAGACGATTTCCTTGTCCATTTCCACCTGCAACTACTGTTCCTTGACTTTCTCCCATTCGATATCGTCTCACTTCATGATTATCATAGTCGACAACATAAAGAAATCCATCATCGTCCATTGTCAAACCCCAGCATCCAACATTTGAGATAATCGTTTCTCCAGTTATGTCATTCTGTCGAGGCCATCGAACAACTCTCTTACTGTGGTAATCACAAATGATGAGGCTATCTCTTTCTTTATCAATGATCACATCTGCAGGGCCACTCAACTGATCAGAACGGTTTCCTTTTCCATTTCCACCAGCCACAACTCGACCAGTCGTTGCACCACATGTCCATTCCGCAATACGATGATTTGGGCATTCAGCAATGTAAATAATTTGGTCATTATCAACACACAAACCATTTGGAGCACTAAGTTGATCCATGTCACTACCGGCTCCATTTCCTCCAGCCACAGTAGCACCATTCTGTATCCATTTTGCATCGGCATTCAGAATTGCACTGCGTAATAATGATGCTGAATCAAAATATAATTTTCATGCATACATATCAAATCAATGAAAGAGTATGAAAACTGGCATTCGAAGTAAAGAACTGATTAAAAGAAAGAGAGAAAGAACAGTTTTACTCAATTTTCATGTTGAGCATTGTCTTAAGTCGTCCCGTTATTTTTATATGTTAAATGATGAAAAATATGTGTTTCTATTGAATGATAGTTAACATTTGAATATTCTCAGTAAAGGTCGAAATTTCTCTTTCTATCATCATCATTGAAAAACTTTTCTTCTTTTGAACGAACTTCGCTAATAAAATGTCATTATTTGTCATCGCAATCGATGAAGAAAACCTTATAATATCCCGTTTTCGAATAGATAATGATTGAAAATAGTTTTAGACGATTGAAATGGCAATTGAATTCCCATAGAAATCAATCTCATAGTGTTCATAATTTTCAAACAAAATTCCGTTGAGAAGTATTGATATGATTTTAATGATGAAATAAGAATTTTCTTTGAAGAACAAACAATTAACACTTAAAGAAACAAGTTTCTAAAAATCCATTAGGTGAATATTTGAAATGCGGCAAAACAACTGTGAAATATTTCATTTTTTTCCTATCATTTGGAATATCTTATTTGTATTCAACTATTGAAAGTCTTGACTTATCAATGTTTAAGGAATTTCAGTCAATGCATCGTTTAAGATTGAAGCATCGTTTTCTTTTGATGAATATCAACTCTCGACGTATATCATTGTGAAGGTTAAATTAAAAGAATTTGAAAACCTTATATGATCTTCTTGTTTTTCTTGGATCCCTCAGAGATGATATGGCTATATTGAAGATGAAGGAGTCTCAAGTTCTCGGATCTGAAAGGAATCTTTTTTCTACCACTTCTACATATATATGTGAACAGTCATCAGAATTTCAAAAATATTTCAATCGAAAATTGAGCAGAATCTACAATCTAACTGCTTGAAAAATTCATTTGAATTATCTGAGAAAATGAAATGAAAAACTCTTTCGACTTCAATTACACTTTAAAATTTACTTTCCGTGACAAGATGAATTTTATTGATGAAGCATGTTGAATAGTGTTCAATTTTGAAATTCCATGGATTGTTGAAAGTGTCTTGTAATTTCTTGAGTTCTTCATTGAAGAAATCAATGCGTGTTTCAATAAAATCTTCCTCTTTGCGACATTGGATGAGACTTTTTGTTAATTCTTTGAATTCAAAATTGAGATCGGTGGCAAATTTGTTCACACGCAATGAGAGTTTATGACGAACTTCATTTGCCACTTGATGGATCTTTTCGATCGATTCGCGTTCCCATTCATCGATTTGTTTCATTAATTCCTGTTTTTGTAACTCGATTTTCGGTCCTTCCATTTCAATCTTGAACTCATTAAATTGATCTTCAGTGTTGCCTAATTGTTCGCTCAATTCATTATGATGTTCATTGATGTGAGTGCGACAAAAATCTTTGGAACAACCTTTACATGAGGTAAAGCTTTTTGTTTTCTGACATTTGACGCAAACTGTTCTCTGTGTTGCTTTCGCCATGTGACAATACACTTTAGAAAACAAAGAAACAATGAAAGAGGATTGATGAAATATGATAGTAACACTACCTGAGTTTGCTCTTTGTTCTGTCAAAGAAGTCATCTTGCATCGTCAAACTTTATCGTACACTATTTAGATGTCACCATGAGAGATTTATAGTCAATTGCAATCAGTTTCAAAACTGTGCCTCAAAAGAAGCGAACTAATTTCTTAATTTAATTTCAATTTAAAATTTTAACTCAAACAAAACGGACACTTTTTCCTTGATTCGTTAGTATCTTCTGTCTCTAGACGGCGAACCTATTCATTGGTTAATATTTCAAGATTCACTGATGTTCTAAAAAGAGGTCTGTCAACAAACCATGATTCAGCAGAAAATTTGTTGAAGATTGGTCAACTGAATTGAATCACTTGATGTCAATAAACATGTATACGGAGGGAACTTACGTTCGCATTCGTAGTTGCTTTCATTCAATTATTGATAGAATTGAGTAACTCATGAGTTTCATTATGTAAACAGATTTAAGGGTGGATATTGCTATTAGAGATTTGCACGGAGACAATTTCGAAGTTAGTTCAAAATTCACTGTTTTTTTATGCCGAAGATTTAGTTTTAACATAGGAAAATCTTTGAACAGCAGGTGTCATTTTCTGATATTTGCTATACGAATTGATGTTGTATGGAGGTTCTAACGACTTCTGACCAAGGTCAGCGGAAATGAAACAAAGTTGGAGTCAAAAAAGTCAGCGTTAAATTATATTCTAACTTTCGTTCGTATCCATAAATCACCACAAGAGGTCGTTAGAACGTCCATTCTTCATCGACTTGTCTAATTAATATCAGAGAAGACACCAACTTTTCAAAAAAGTTCTTACATTAAAATTAGATGTTCGACAAAAACAAATTAAATGACTACATCTAGATCTCTAGTGGCTATCCTTTACGTACTTATATCGCCAATCAACTTGTTTTTCAGACTACAGAAGGAATGATACATGCACCCTAGCATATGACTTTCAAAAACCTTTCAAACCTCGATTATCAAAGAGCACAGTATTTTCACTCTAATCCATGATTATAAACCTTTTGGTGATGCTTTTGTTTGGTCCAAGAACCGAGACACATTTTGTCTGAAAACTTTCAGTCCACCTGTTACTAATAAAAGTATTCGAAAAAAGTCGTAACAGCACAACATGACTCATTCTTTTTGTACTCAAGTTATTTCAAATATTGTTCGTGAGAATTTCATGAAAAGTTGAGCCGTATTGATCACTTCTCTATATTATATGTGTTTTTACAGCTTGGCTATTTCCAGACTCTTCCAACAGTTGATACGATAAATCGACAGAAATCATTTTTTCAATTGTCATTCGCATTGAATAAAGTATAAATACGCTCTCATATCATCAAAATTGACTCAGCTATGATCATTAATCACGATTGATCAGCGCACTTCCGAATATTTCGATGAAGGACGTGAATCTGGATGTACGTAGTACGGGTATGTATATGTATGTAGATTTGTGGTTGTTTATGTGTTCTTCACCGACACCCACACTCCATTTGAAATCAAACCTATCCCATCCGTACGCTCTGCTCAAAAGACATTTCGATACAGATCAGGTTCTAGCAAACCAGCTGTTCTCAAGATAGCAGCTGACATGGAACTGTCGTAGGTTTATTTTCTAGAAAACATATAATTCTTCAAATTATAGATCTATCGATTGTTGAACAATTCTATTCTGACAAGGCGTTTCATTAATCATTTGGCTCTAGTTAATGAAACTGAATAGATTCGATTTGAGATTATTCAGACAGATTCTTCTCTTCAAGTTATTTTGCATTATTGTCAAAGGTCTCCTTTTGCACAACAGTTTTGTTACCGACTTTGCTATAAGAGTAATCACTTTATTAGAGCGATTCATCTCTCCTGTATCTTGGATGATTTGAGACACTATTTCAGTTTGACTTACGTTAAAGAAAAGCAAGAAAACGTTAAATGAGACTTAAGGGTGTGAATGGATACATTAATGTGTCTTGCTTTTTGTCAATATCAATAAATTGTTTCAAAATCAGTTTTACTCCCAAGATAACAGACTAATAAATACAATCTGTCAAAAAATTATTAATACGGATGTGCATGATGACATAACATTGCTCACAACTTGGCAGCACACACTTGCTAAAAGTTGTGATTGTCACCATGTGAGAATCACGCAATGGTTGACCGAAACTTCACACAATATTTTAATTAGTTTGTATGTATATAAACATTCATCTTCATTGAAATACATCAGACTGTCATCGTACAATAAAGAAGAACCACCAATATGTGAGCGGTGCATCATTAGTACGCGTTCAGTTTTAACTTCTATGAAAAAAGTTTTAATAACAGATCAAGAGAAATAGATAATTGCCATTGACGTTTGCACGAGCAAGATATCCAGAGATGCAGAATATTTCTCATGCGCCCCCCGTGCGGGGGGGGGGGGGGGAGCGAGAGGGGATTTTTTGAAAAACTCAAACAATAGGGAAATTTTGGAAAAACTCGCTGGCCAAAAAAAAATACAGTGGGGAAATTTTCCAAAAACTTTTTTTGCGTGGGGGGGGGGAATTTTCGGATTTTTGGAAGATTCTGCACCTCTGAAGATATCCTTGTGCTGTTCTATCATCTCTTGCAGGTATACTTGCTACTCATATAAGGAAATAAATATGCCCTTCATATCCTTAGTTTTGCATGTCTTTGGTGAGTTGAGTATTATACTCATACAAAGATTTTTTCGAATATCCAAATAGGATCAATCAGTTTATGAAGTACATACCAATGATATTTCAGAAATACTCATCATGAAATAGAAAGTGGTGATCCGTTCGATACAAATACTGCAATCAATCTAACAAAAGTCAAGGAAGGACGTGGTTGGCAGAGTAGAGAAGACTCATACCTACATCCAGCTGATATTATTTTTTTTATAGTTAGAATGAAGATACGAATGAGTCCTTCAAGATCAATATTAAAGTCTAGGTTATAAAATATTTTGTTGTACCTCATCATATGACGATTAGAAAGAATTTTCAAAATATAAAATAATTCAATTTAAGTTTATCCACAGAATTTTGTGCTATAATAAAAACTTTTTTCTATATGAAAGTTTTGAAAAATTCTGAATTAAGTTCTATTAAGTATTATCTTCGAATCTTTAGTGAGGCATAGAGGTTAATTTCTCGATCATACTGTTCATTTGTCCAAACAACGGGTACATCACATGATATATAATCGATCCTGAAAAATACCTCGATAGGTCTTTCTCTAGAAAAAGACTAGACTATATATAAATAACGATGCCGATCAATAAAAGAAGAAATCAATTACAAGAATTCATACACTGTTGTTCGATGCAGTTGTTTTCCATCTTTGTCATAAACGACTGGTTCTCTGCTGGTTCATCATTTTGAACAAAAGTAAATCGTTAATTACCAATATTAGACAGATAATTGTTTGAAAACATTTATCGGTAAAATTCGACAGAAGAGACTAGCATCTATCATGTATATCATAAAACTTCATCACAACAATATCCAGTAAATGTTCATTTAGATGCGCCTAACTATTTCGAATAGAAAGGTATCGGAATTATTCGACAACTACCGAGCTCATCAGATCTTGCTGCATGTAATTGGTGATCATTTAATCTGATCAAACAGAATCTAATCGATGACAACGACTCACAAGCATTGCATCGCATTGCCATAAAGAAGATCATTAAAAAAATACTTTCAATAAACGTCTTTAATAAATGTCACTTTGTATAAATAATCAGAGCACTGTCGAAAAAATTGTTTCTACATTGTGTTTTTCTTCCACCATCTCTCATTCGAGAATCGTGAAGAAATTTTGGAAAGATCTAAACTGATCAAGTTATAACTTTTAAGAAATAATTAATATCAGTATTTCAGAGCTTATCAAGATATCTAATAGTGTATTGAGACCTATTCTAGGTAGAATGTATATATATATATAACAGATTTGTTTGTTAGTTCAATCAATGGTAAAAAATAGAGCGCCATTCAAAGAAAACAAGTTGTTTCTGTGATGATCGGTTATTCATTGGAAGAAAATCGTAGTCTGTGAAAGAGTTTTTAATGAACTAAAGAATACATGTGAGTTGCTCTTGAGAAGTTACTTCACGTTCACTAACATTTATTGAATAAAGAAAAAAACATATATTTGTTTGAAATAGGATCGCAATTCTTATAAAATTCTTTCTAATAAACAAACATTGTGTCGATGTCGCTAATTGTCGATCTAATTTGTCATTTTTTTTCTTTCTATCCAACCACATAGTTGATGATTTCATCAGCTGATTCATTGACAATAATAATCAGATGTTTTTCTTTGAGTATTCTAGACTACCCACGAGAATATGATACGTATAAAACCGCAGTTTTAGTATATTGTAGAAGTCATATTGTTGATTCAGTTTTTATACATTGTTCGAAATTTTAATTTGACCTAAATTTTTCTGACAATTCATATCACAATTTTAATGCGAAAAAATTTTTCCGTAGATATCAATAAACATTTTGCTTTTATTAATCTCTTCAGTCATATAAATAAAACTTTTATTCTTTTTTAAAATAAAAAGAAGAAAATAAAACAACCACGTTAGAGAATTCTGTCTTAGTTTTTATAGACCGAATATTGTCTTTCTCATAGCAAGATAACACATCTAATGTAAATGAAGAATACGAACTAAAATATTATTTTAATAAAGAATATTTTTTGAAAATTTCATTCTTTTTTTTTTTTTACAAGTTTTATACA